TAATTGGGGCTAGTTGTGTGTGACCGTATTTGGAGACAAAGCTTAGAAGGGTACCTTTGGAATTTAATATATTTTTTTTCCCGATTTCTCTCTTGGTTAAAATATGGTAACTTTGAAATCAAAAGTTCAAATGTGAATAGAGGATAAATTGTACTAAAATGTGAAAGTACAAAATTATGTAATTTTCTCTTTTTAGTAACATTAGCCAATAAGCAAGTTTAGGACTACAAAGTTCAAGAAATCATAAGTTTGGAGGAGAATCCATGGTAATGGCAAGTTCAAAATTGTTTTTATTTTTGTGGAAAAGTTCAAATCGTTATCACCTCGATCAATTACCTGAAGCATATTTACCAAATTAAAATTTTAATCTAAGTATCAAAGTGCAAAATAAAAGGAAAGTTCAAGAAAAAGGTTGCTACGAAATTATCCTAAAATTTGTAACAACTCTTTTTATTATTTTTGCTTTCTCTCCTCCCACCCTAAATAAATTTAAATTTCTACCTATGCCTAAACTTAATTGGATTTAAATCATTTTCATTGCATATCTTACCATTTACTAGCTAGTTGCGGTTGATATGCATAAATGAAAAATTATGACGTGTACTACAAACTTTTAAAGACTCGGGTAAAAGATATTTATTTTCTCCTTAAACATCTCTACCTGAATTTATCTGTGAACCCACTTGAAATAAAAGAAGTTCATGTCGGTTGGTTTGCTAAGTAAATTGTTTTTAAGAGGTCCAAATGAATTTTGTTTGCTTCTTTTATTTTCCCTAGATCATTCAATGCCCTTTTATAAGTACTATAACCACTTGATTCGTTTTTCCTTTTATTAAATTTATTTTCTCGACTAAATTAATGCCTAGCTTATCCTGTCTATTTCTGTTAGTAAGAATAAAATTAGCTAATGTAGGTGTCAATATAATTAGACATGTAACCAATAGACATTTATAGTAAATTGCTAATTGTTCCTTCAAAATAAAGTCAAAAAGGTATATATATATATATATATATTAATCACTTTTGCTTATTTTTCGTAGGTCATTCAATTTTAACTACATTTTTTTTAATTGGGAAAACAGATGTTTTACACCGACAAAAAAGAGGAAGCCAATATAGGACATATGCCTGACATTACCCCAACCAAATTAGCCAACACAAAATCGAATAACTTTACTGCTCATCTAATTACTAGCTACTCAAGTTGTTTATCTTTCTCATCCTTGAACTTTTTTTTTTTTAGTTTCAATTAGCCAGGTTTGTAATTTGTTATAACTTTTCTTGGAACAAGGATAATTACGCATATCATATCATAATTTTGTTATTATCAAATGCTAGATATCAACTAGCTTATTGTTAGGATTCTAAAAAAAAAAAAAAAAAAAAAAAAAACCCTTTTAAAAAATTAAAAATAAAAAATATTTTTTTTTTGATTTTAAAAAAAAAAAAAAAAAAAAAAAAAAAGCTCCTTGTTATGCATAATAACCATTAAAATATTAGCTTATTAATTTATTTCATATTATTTTGGAGGGCAATATAATTAATTAAGTGGACAGTCTGAGAAGGATATTGGAAAAATAGATATATACAATAAGAACTATAATTAAATTGTGTACTTCCCTGCAATTTATGACAATTTATGACCATTGACATATGCATAAATAGCAGGCAAATTACTAGTGTGTGTTTGTGTTTCATGTGTAATCTTATTACATCAGTTTACTGTTATCACATCAAAACCATTGAAGGGATATCTGACCTAATACTTTAAATATATAGGTTTAAAGCCTTTGAAAATTATGAAAAAGCTATGAATAATATAAGAAAGCATAAAAATGAAGACCTTTTTTTTTTTTTGAATCACACCCAGGTTACTGATCATAAAAAAAAATAATAACAATATTGAATTTTCGCTACATTGTAAATTGATTTTAAGCGTATAATCCGACCTTTCACTTCTTTAAATTTCTGTTATTATTATCAATATATACAAAAGTACTACTACCATAAGAGAAGAAAAAAAAAAGGGGAAAACACGCCATCAGCAAAACTAGAACGATCACTAATTGATCGATGTTGTTGTTGTTGTTGTTTTTTCTTTTTTTTTTTTCCAATTTGAAACTCGTCGTCCAATAGTATCGTCACTGATTATATTTCTGTCACGTCCACTATTATTTATTATTATTATTATTATCATTATCATCATCCTGATGATTATGATGATGATGATGATTATTATTATTATTATGATTATGTTCTTTCAGTAGGAATGAGGATTCAAAGAAACTAATAATTAACAATATAGCGAAGAGTAAAATACTAAATAATAGAAAGGAACTGTAAACTAACCTAGAAGTACTGCTAACACGTTATTTTTGGCACAAAACTAGTCATTTCAAAATATTGACCTTAAAATGGCTTAATCTGCCACTTTTCAGATGTGCTTTAATAATTAAAAAAAAAAATGATAAAGGGTTTAATATGGATATTGAGTTTCTGGTAAGCGGCGAAAACAAGTCATGAATTCTAGAACTATGCTATATAGCCCAATTGAGTTAAGTGAACCACCCAGTTTTATCGGTTTTCAACACACTTTTTTTTTTAAGGGTAGTTCAACACTTATTTTATAACAACAATTATTATAAATGTAGGGTCTATGTTTCACACTTAGCAAGTTGAAACTAAACAAATATGTGTAGTATATTTAGTCCAATCCGGCTTTATTGTAAAATAAAAAATAATAAAAAAAAAGACTTCCATTCACTTAAAATCTTTTATCTAAAAGCAATTAAAGTTTATCTACAAGAAATAATGAAAATTTATTAGCAGTCGCAAGTATAGGGCAAAAATGTTCTCTGAACAATCTAACGGAGAGCATATTTATCACGCAGACTAGGTTAAATAGTACCATTATGAGCCCTAATTTTATTAGCTTTACAACTACCTTATTTTGTTATTCAATGTTTCTGATCCCAAGCTAAAAAGTCAAAATAAGCTATGTACGTGTTTTTACTAATTGCTTCACAATTTATATATAGGAACTATATATATATATATGCCATTATTACATAGCTTTTGGGACCATATATATTATCAGCACTTATGCAGACCACATAAATTGAATCACTTATCTAATGGAACAAGTTATTTGCAATTAAAGTTATTCTAGTATCAATTATTTGTCATCTAGCAATTGCAATTAAATTTAATCGCATTTTTTAATAATACTGGTCATTATTAATGTTTTACTGTGGGTTTAATAATTGTTGTGATTTCAAAGAAAAAACAGTAACACCAATACTACTATTGATTGTCTTCACAGTATATGTGATTTATATTACGTATTACATTAAGGATTTTTTAGATTGGTAAATTTACTTAATTATTTATGGAACTTTTATCAATCAAAATTAAATTACTAAAGAAATTAACCCTCAGTTTTCTACTCCTAAAAAATCCCATCTAGTAGTCAGCTCTTCCTGCATATTTCACGTTTAGATTGCAAGAGAAAAAAAAAAAAAAGAAAAAAGAGAATTGAATGCTCCCTGTCCTTATAAAAATGAGTGAAGATCTATTTAACTTTGGTTGTAGAGTTATTTCTCTGCTCCAAAATATTGGAGGAATTGATCGGTAGTTCTCTTTTGATTCTTATCAGACAAAATAAATGTACAAATATATAATCCCCCAAACACAAAAAATAAATAAATAAATAAATAAAAGAGAAAAAGAAAAAGAAAAAGAAATTCCTTAAGAATATTTTGCACTTGGTAAACACTGTACCCCAACATACCCCTCCAATTCTTAGGGTATATACAGAATGTCATCAGAAACCAAAAAGTGGGGTAAGGTGTAAATATTGTAAAAATTTGTGCTGTCTAACCAAAAAAAAAAGAAAAAAAAAGCTGATTATCCTTTGTTCTATTTAAGTCCAGTTCATTTCACCGATTTGAGTTTTGTTACAGTAAAAAAATCTTAAAAAGAATCATATTTATTTTTTTTACTATAGTAAAAAATTCTTACATAAAATTATATCTTAATTTTATTTTAAAAATTTTAATAAGTGAACTAAACGGTCCAAAATGTAAGTTGATTTAACCATTACTGAACTTTGTCTATGATTCAAATGGAAGGTGCCCAGAATGTAAGGGCGTCCTTTTGATGACCGGAGGGCACCTTACCTGAAAAGACAAACTTACCCTCTTAGGCCCATCTCACTGGTTTTGTTTAGAGAAAGGTAAATTTGACTTTGCAACAGAGTGACCATCCGTATATCTGCCCACAAAAATGTGCCTTAAATTTCTGGGGACATTATTGAGGGGGAAAAAAATGGTGGGTCTAATTTATTTCATTTCATTTTTTTTCTTTTCCTTCTCTTTTTCTTAGAAAAGAAAAGTTGGGTATAAAGATAGAAATGAAAGAATTATATAAAAAAAAAGATAAAAATGAAAAGCAAATTAATTATGCGATTTGTAGGAATTGGGTTTGTTTTTGTGAAAATAAATTTTTAAAAAAAAATCAAATCATCATCATGACGGCAATGAGTGGTGTAAATTGGGGACAAATAACTGAACCCTAGAATGTGGAAATTAGTGCATAATCATGGGCTTTATAGTATGATGCAGAGAAAAATGTAAAAAATTTTAGGGTTTGTATGGAAAGTAAAAAAGGGTAATAAGTAAACCCAAACAAAGAGGTCTTCTGTTTAAAGAGCGTGTGTGCGTTGGTTTAGAAAGGTTATAGTGTGGGTTTGCTGAGGGACAAACCCACACGTTAATTAAAGTGGATTTATATAATTCCCTCTTTTTTCGTTCCTTTTCTCCCAGGAAAAAAGAAAGCGAAAAAAAAAAAAAAGAAAGAAAGAAGAGATGTAGTAAAAAAAGGAATCAAGTCCCAAACTCATTTAACTTTCTTTTTTTCTTTTCTCTATCTTTTTCTTCCTTTCTTACCCTATTCCCCTACACCCCACGTCCACCAAAAAAAAAAAAAAAAAACTTCTCTCTCTCTCCTCTCTCTGTGACTGTCTCTCTCTCTCTCTTTCTCTCTCATAGCTCCTCAAGTGTCATTTTCTCACATATACTTCACACAAAAGAAACAACCATTCACTTCATACCTTGTCATTTATTTCTCTCCTTTCTCTCTTCTCTCTCTCTCTCCTCTCAATCCCAAAATCTGCAACTACTCCTTCAAAATTGATCAAACCCCATCTGAAAAACAAAAGAGAAAAAAAAAAAACCAGAAAGAAATACTCTTATAATATCACCTGAATTTCCAAAACCCCCTATTATCCCGGCCCAAACTTGTTCATACATATACGGCCTCACCCTTTGACAAATACACCCTTAATATTCCTCTTCTATATATCTAACAAAAGAGAGAGAAGAAAAACAAAAACAAAAAAAATAGAGAGGAATTACACAAGGAATATTTAAGACTTGGAGAAGCCAAGCTTAATTTTCTTTGATTATCATCAATTTTTTTTTGTTGTAGTTATTTTGGTTTTTTCTTGTACTAGCTGTTTACGTACCAAAAGAAATGGAGCTATTCCCAGCTCAACCGGATTTGTCTCTCCAAATCAGCCCTCCAAACGCAAAACCCACATCGACTTGGAGACGAACGACAACGAATGGTACGACCGGTACCGTGGAAGATCAGGAGGTGATGGATTTGGGATTTTGGAAGCGAGCTTTGGACTCGAGAAACTCCATATCTTCTTCAATGGCGTCAAAAGCGGACAATATGATAACAAGTAGTACCAACAACAACAGCAACATGAACATGAACTCCAACTGCTTCGACCTTTCTCTCTCCAACTCCAACAATAACAGTACTCTTCTTTCTCATCATAATCATAATCATCATCATCATCATCAATATCACCACCAACAACACCTCCAAAACGGTAATGGCAATAGTCTTTTTCACAATAGTACCAGTACTACTCCTTTCCCTCACCAAAACCAGTTATATACTCACCACCACCACCACCACCATCAAAACGCGGCGTTTCATCACCAGCAGCAACAAGGGTTGAGCCAGGAGCTGGGATTCTTGAGGCCCATAAGGGGAATTCCAGTCTACCAAAACCCTCCCTCGTCGCCTTTTCCGTTCTCCCCCGCCGCGCAGGTTCTCGACACCGCCGCCGCCGCCGCCGCCGCCAATTCCTTGTCGTCTTCCCTCGCCAACGGCGCCGCCGGCTCGTCGCCGTTTCAGTCTCATCATGGCCACCACCACCACCAGCAGCAGGCCGGGTTGATGCGATCGAGGTTCCTTTCGAGGTTTCCGGCGAAGCGAAGCATGCGGGCCCCTCGGATGCGGTGGACGACGACGCTCCACGCGCGGTTCGTTCATGCCGTTGAGCTCTTGGGTGGCCATGAAAGTAAGCTTAAGCTCAAGCTCAAGCTAAAAATTCTATCATTTGTCTATTGTCTTTAATTTCTTCTTCTCTTTAATTTGCTCTTACTTCAACCAATTGGTTTAGAAGCAAAAATGGGGAAATAATCGGCTGATGTATATTGTATTATATACATAGTACATACATATATACCTAATTAGTGTTACTATTTGTATTATGGGATTTCTTAGGGGCTACACCAAAGTCAGTTCTTGAGCTAATGGATGTGAAGGATCTGACCCTCGCACATGTGAAATCTCATTTACAGGTGAGAAAAATTACAAACGTCACTGTAGCAAAAGACCACTTCACTAATAATCTATCATTCTTCAAACTTCCTCTTTTGTATTGGGATTATTTAGTTTTTATTTTCTTTCATCAACTAATTAGATAAATTTTCAAACTTTTTTCTTTCTTAATCACTCTCTTTAAATTATTTTCTCCATCATTAGTCGTTTGTTGTATGGAGTGATTGCAGTTGTATGGTAGTCTTTGTTTGTTTTTACGGCCTACATTAGAGGGAAAGAAGGAGTTAATGCAAAACGTTTTCAAATTCCAAAGGGTGTCTGAAATCCTTAGCACTTCTTTTTCTACTATATACAGATATAGATCTGATGTGGGTTCTGCTTCTGCAAGCTAATAAACAGCTTTTTGCTTGGAAGAATGAACCATGTTATTAAAGAAAAAGAAAAAAAAAATCAATACTAACTTAGAGAGAGAGAGAGAGAGAGAGAAGATTATCGATTACAGAGAAAACAAATAAGACAAAGCCCAAGGAATTCAAAAAATGAGTCGAGGTCGTAGTAGCCAAGCCTAGACAGACTCTTACACAGTCTATAATGAATAAGAAAATCATTTTTTAATTTCTTCCATTCTATAGAGGAAAAAAAAAAATGGAAAAAGAAACAAGTACAGAACATTATCATTTCTCAATGATATCTTCATGATGATAAAATTGATTGGTTACGGTGACCACACTTATATAACCATGGTTAACTGCGTGCATGCATGCATGTATACACACATACATATACATATGTGTGTGTGTGTGTGTATATAAATGCTTTGTTTTCTTTATGTACTTGCACCGTCTTGTATCGTGTGTTTTCAAAAATAAAGAAAACCGTACTGTAAGAGTTGGAGACTGCTTTTGTTCCTCTTTCCTTTTCTGTTTCGCTCTTAAATTAAGAAACTCTCATTTTCGTTAATTTGTATTACATTTTGTGAATGATATTGATTAACATCCAAGTGCTATATTAAACTCCATTTCAGATGTATCGGACGGTAAAGACCACAGATAGAGCAGCGGCTTCTTCAGGTTAAAACCCCTTCTTTTTTTTTCGTTTTTTTCCCGCTAATTTTTGTTGGCTAAAACCTAAGTTCTTGATTTTTTTTTCTTTTGGCCGATCAGGACAATCAGATGCGTATGAAAATGGGTCGTCGGGTGATACTACTGAAGATTTAATGTTTGACATTCAGAACTCAAGAAGGTCTGCCGAACAATCTTCTCAGCAGGAAAGGTCGGGTGCTAATCAAGATAAGGAATATCGTGGCCTGTGGAGCAATTCTTCAAGGTAACACAAAAACTATAAATTTAACTCTTCATCTCCTTCTCACACACACAAACACACACACACACACATATATATATATATATATATGTCTGTCTCTTGTATATGGCAATAATAAGTAGTGTCGTACGTCCTTGTTAAATATATATAGTTTGGTGTGTCTTAGGTATACCTAGAAACCGACTTTGTTTCATATTGATTCTAACAAATGCTTTTTATTTTCCCTCACTGTTTGTGACATAGTGAAAAAGAAGAATATATACATATATACATACATACATACATATATATATATATATGTACACAAAAGCCTTGGCATACATGACTAAGGAAGCAATGTTTTTGTTGTAGTATGTAATAGGTCGTCTATAGAGAACTTCCTAGAAACCCATGATGGATTAACTTATAAAAAGAAGTTCTAACACCTATAATGTGCATATTATGATGTTTAATTATGTTGGAAATAAACTTGCTTGTACTTTGTTACAAAGAAAAAAACAAAACTTATGAACTTTAGATACTCGAAAACACAATGCAACAGAATAATGTACAAAAAACGTCTCAGTCCTCGCTTTATTTATTCTTTTGCTTTCAACTTTGTTTGGATTCATATAACTATATATATTCAAAGGAAACTTTCTCTCAATAAAAAAGAAAAAGGAAAAGAACAAAAAGAGGGAATGTTGTTTAAATTTAAGCATAATAACAATGCTGGACTGAAACCTTTAACTAACGTTTTCGTTCAAAGTCTCATATTCTGAGCAATCATTTCAAATGGGTGATAACCTTATATTGTAGTACTCTCTCACCTGAGCCCTCAGATAAAGACATAATTATTGGTAAGAAATCAAAAAAGAAGAAAACGATTTCACTATATATATATATATATATATATATATATGTGTGTGTGTGTGTGTGTGTGTGTGTGTGCTTTCTTCTGTCTGTCTACAAATTATGAAGACTACAACTGAAACTCCATGATGGGGTAATTATAATGATCTCCTCTAGTGGGTGTGTGTGTGTGGGTGAAAAGGGGAGTAGTGAAAAGAAACCCACCAAAACTCCTACAAATCCAAGATATGGGAATCCTCATTTGACAAAATCCACCTCAAAAATAGAGATATCTATCTCTTTCCCTTGGATTTTGTGGGGCCACATATTTAGAGGCTATTTTAAGGCTATTTCTTCTGGGTCCTAGAAAAGAATACCAAAACTTAGTCTCAAAGCTATAAGGTATATATGATGATGATGATGATGATGATGATGATGATGATGGACCCATTAGTGGAAATCATCTTTGTGCCAAAGCCATATGCCCTTTGAAACAATTCCTTTGTAATATGTGTTTGGTTTGGAGTATTGGGTAATGGGAAAATCACATGGGGGGAGGTGGGTGGTATTCAACTTTATTTCAATATCACCACTACAAAATGCGTAAAAAGCTAGCTATAGCTTGAGACTATATATAAACAAAGACAGTAAAAGATAGGCTTCTTTTTCTCAGTGTTTGGTGTGTTTGCTTTTTCTTCTCTGCATGGCTTCCACTGATTGAAAATATTCTCTCATTGTGTGTGTTTGGTTTCTAGCAGAGAAGCTTGGTTGCATGGCAAACCAAAGGATTCTGCAGGTGCAAATATACCATCTCTAATTGATCAGGTACCAAATGTTTCATCCCTTTATTTCCCAAAATAACCTCAGAATGTTGGCCCTAGGTATATATATGTTCCCTTTGAATGAATGAACAAAAGAGAAGCGATAATATAAGTCTTGTTCATAATATTCCTCATATATTAAAGCACATTACTTGCAAAAAAGAGGGAAAAAAATAGGTCAAAGGACTTTAGGAGGCCTGTGCAGGACACATTCACAATCTTAAGGGCTAATTTGTCATTTCATGCTTGCTGATGTTATTACAATTAAGAATGTAAGTATTATGTACATATATTTGTACTATACACGTATTATGTATGTATGTATGTGTTTTTATGAATGAGAATATGTAAGACATTATGTATGGAATAATTTTTTTGGGGCGTTGCACACTGTAGCAGGCTTTCTATACGTACTCTTCCAAAGTTTCTTTAAAATTGATATCTATTCTTTTATTCTCTTGATGACTCAAATGTCCTCTGATTCCCAAGCCCCACATTTCACACGCTTCTTCCATGTTAAAGCTCTTACTATTTTTGTGCACCTTTTTTTTTCCTTTAAATTATACTTAATTTGATGTTTTTTTTTCCTCTTTTTTTTGTTTTTGTTTTTTAATGTTAATCCCAGAAGGATATGGATCCTAAATGCTTAAGCTACGAAAGAATATCATCAGATGAAGGGTCACCAACCAATCTGTCGGAGAATAGCCCCAAGAAGCCCAATTTGGAGTTCACTTTGGGAAGGGCAATTTGATAAATAATAATTATTATTTTTTTCAAATTAGTCCTTCTCTCAGTATTAAGTACTACTTCTCATTTTAAATTGATTAAATATGTCTCTGAAGAAGGGTCCTGGAGCTGGGAGAGAGATGAGAATCAGGTACTCGCAGAGAAAATCAGCGGAAAAGAAAGGAAAAGAAAAGAAAAGAAAAGAAAAGAGAGGAAAAAAAAGGGTGGGGAAGAAAAGTAAAAGGAGAGCTAAAGAAAGACAAGGAGACAAGAAAGACAGAAAGCAACAAAAGGAGAAAAGGGAGGGAAAAAAGCACGTCCTTCCTATCGATTGCAGCTGTGAGATCCAAATCAACATATTATATTCCTACGTAAATATATGAAATCTAATTGATTTTGTATGTTTTTTGCACTCAGAGAGAGATAGAGAGAGAGAGAGAGAGAGAGAGAATGTGAGAGAGAAAAAGACCATTAACTATCTTATTAAAGTATGGAAGTGATCCTTATTCCTTGGTAATTGTAATGGGAGCACTTAACATTTTATGAATTTTTTTTTGTATTTTTTTCACCAAAGGACTTGGGGGTTCTCTAATATTCATTCCTAGGCACTTTCACCTCACATGCTTTTACACTTTATGACAAAGGGGGGAAAAAAAAGAACCTAAGAATATAAACTAGAAAAGGCTGGGAAATAAAGACATAAGAAAGATGGGGAAAAATTACAAAAGAACAAAAGGGCAATTGTAAAAGGATAACTTGAACACACTTTTTTACACCCATTTGGAAAAAATTCCTATCCATGTATGTAGTCAAGCATCAAGCCTTAGGGCCGGCAATATGGGTCACGACACGACAACACGACTCGAAAATAACACGAATTTCGCAGGTTAGAGTTGAGATAAAGGAGGTTCGGATCAGTATTAAGTCAACTTGAAATTGACACAAAAAGCACAAGTCAATTTCGGGTTAGACCCACCTAACTCAAACACGACACGAAACTCGTAAAAGACTCAAATATATATATTTTTCCTTACATATTTTAGATTTTATTATGAACTTGTGATATCATGATAATTATACTCAAAATCTTATACTATTATTTGCTTAATTTTTATGAATGTTATTGTATTTTAGCGTGTTACGGATTTTAAGTTATTTCTAATATGTAAAAAACTAAAGAAAAATATATAATTTTCATGTCAATTTTGGGTTCACGGGTCAATTTTATGTCACAAGTAATTTTAGTGTCGTGTCAACCCGTAAAGTGGTCGTGTCGTGTTCATATTGCAGTTTTTTTTTAAAAATCGTGTCATGGGTCATGTCTGGGTTGACGGTAAATTTAGAAATAAATGACCAAAATACGACACGTAACACGAATTGTCACCCCTAAGCTTTAGTGATCTCAATTAAGCAATATATATGTTTGTTTTATGCTTTATAGATTTATTAGTTTTTTCTCTCCAATCTAGTCAAGTCCCACTTATGATCCTTTTCCTTTTTTTTTTGTTACCAAAAATAAAATTCTACTGTCTCACTTGTAATTTTAAAATGCATAAAACTTGAGCATTTAAAAAAAAAAATAAAAAGCCTAAAGAAAACTAAAAGCAAAACCATACAAAGTAAAATTAAGCATAAAACATGAAAAGAAGCAACCAATGAGAAAATCATACCAGTCCTTATAAGGTCGTTACAGTTTATCAACCGGATGCTAAGAATGCGTGGAAAATCTTGGGCAGATGTAGCAGATGAGAACGCGTTTGGAGAGTGAAGCCTTGATTAAATCAATTATTGAATAATGGCTCAAAAAGAGGAGGAAATTGTTGCTTCGGGTTCTTGAAAAAAAAAAAATGGTAGATCGTAAAATTTTGAGGAAAAAATTGAATAACAATGAGGAGAAGGAAAAAAAATCATCTTATCATCTTAATTAGAGCTTGTAGGAGGAAAGGTCATAAAATGCAAAAATCTTACATTCTTCTTCTAGCTTGCTTTTTTGTTGTTGAATTTTGTTTTGCTTGCTTTTGGTTTATTTTTCCTTTTTCTTATTTTTTTTAATGTTTTAATTACGTTAGACCTCTTTTTTTTTCTTTCTTTTATTAGGGTTGTTGCTTAGTAAAAAAAAAAAAAAAAAAAACCCTATGATAAAACGTAAGATTTTCTCGTTTTGAACCTTCCCACTTTAAGCTCTAATTAGCTTGTAGGATAAATTTTTATAAAAAAAATAAATCAGCATCATTTGTTGAGCTGCTAATTACCAGATATATCCATCAGACAGAAAGATAATATGCCAAAGTTCCTGATACTTTAATGCATACTTATTGAGTCTTGAAGAGTTGTTCGCGTGATGATCATTTGCACTTTAAATTTGGTGAGGATAAAGCTAATTTGGACTGTCATACCTTGGCTTTTCAAAAGCAAAGCATGTATATATGCAATTTGTAATATATATAAATGCTGTTTTACCTCATAAAAGGAAGCTTCTGTGAAGGCCGTGACAAAGTGATCAGCATGCACTTTTTGATATTTGAGCTCGTAATAAACTTTTCATTTTGTTTTCTCTGTTTCTGTAAATAATTAACAGATCATGAACTATTGACCAATTTGAGGTATGATATATAATATCAAACACAAATACTTTGCCGTGGAATTTTTTGCTTTTAGAAAAAGATATAAATGAATCCGTTAATAAATCAAAGTAAGCTGCATCTTGCTACATTTAAGAAAGCAAGTGTTGATGATTTTAAGGACATCTTTAAAAAAAAAATAAAAAAAATAAAAATAAAAATAAAAAAACACACACACACACACGCAAAGAGATATTCTAATTAGTTCTTTCCCTTTTCTTTTCATTTATTTTTCAAGAGATAAAGCGTATGAATATTTATGAGATTATTAATACCACCTCGAATTAAAATCGTGATTTAAGCTAACTAATGAGCATAAGAACACATATTAATTTTATGACGACTTATCATAACGTGGACCTCACCCCCTCCCCCCCGACATAAAGCAATGGATGACTCGGTCAATGTTTGTTAAACCAAGTAACATGATTTTATAATATCCTTATAGGTTAAGTAGTATTCTTTTGGCTAAGACCATGAGTTCATGACAATATACTCCAATATATGTTTAGTAAAGCATGAACTAATTAATTTTTTAGAGAAAAACTGCATAGATATTTAAATGCAACAGCATAAAAATCCAAACTTATAGAAGAATATATATATATATATATATATATATAGAAGGATCAACAAGCTTGTTCCTTTTTAAAATATATATATATATATAGAGAGAGAGAGAGAGAGTTCTCGTAACTTGATGATTAAACGTACACAAGTTGACTAAATATATATCTACGTACTTCTGAAATGTATTTATGCATATATAATGTATAAATAATGTATGTATGTGTATATATCAATAATGTCGGTAGACTATGTTGAGAAGAGTAAAACTAGAAAAATGTCGAATCAAAACCAACATTGACAATGTCAAGAACCCCACCTTACTCCCTTGATGAGCGAACAATTGAATTTCAATGATTTATAAGAGGAGAGTGGCAAAGAAAAATGGATTCTATGGGGATCATAAAGTAGAACAAACAAGGAGATTCCTTCGAAATGTTTGTTCTCTAGTTAGCTGTTTCATTCTATGAGTACAAAATGCCAATCCCTAATTAGCACATCCTATAGGCCAAATTGGTGGCTCATTTGAGAAAATAATTCATCTCGTCACCTAATATTATATATGATGCATTACCATCAAGATGCATGTGTTTGCACTAATTGGTTCTTTTTTAATTATCAATCACATCAAACACATTCTTCAGCTGGGTGATCTCATTCAAAATTTATTAAATATATTCCTATAATTATTATAGAAATACATACGATCAAAGTTTAGATAATTAAAATTAATTTTAAACTAATTTTTTTGTTTTGGCTGAACTTCAATTAACGGGCCTGTATGGAGGACCTCACTTTAAATTTTAATTTGTGAAAAACGTAGATTTTAGACGAATTTTCTTGACAAAATTACTTTTGTTTTTTTTCAAAAAACAAAGAAGGAAAAAGAAAATAGAGGACCTAGCTGATAGGGAGAAAGATAGATATTCTTTGTGTAAGTTTGTTGAAATTCTATAGGTGCATGGTCACTAGATATAGGAGTTTTATTTGTATATGCAAGAACAAAACGACAAGAAAGAAGGTCTAATGGGTAAAAAAAATTATGAGAACTAGTCTGATGTCCTCACCTCCATTATGGAAAAATATGGTCCATATTATACATACATATATATATATATATATGCTTTTGTTGTACAATAATGAAATACTTTTCTCTTCCTGTTAATTATTCTCCATTGAAATGACGGCTACGGAACTGATCAAAAACCATGCAGGGTGGGTCACTCTTGGAAACAAAATAATTATAAATATACAGAAATAAATAAAGTGATTCTCAAATTGACAAATAATCAAATATATCCTGGGCTTGAGCAATCATATAAGGTGGAATGTGTACAAAGCCTACATTTACTATAATTCCATGTCGATCAGGAGAGAAAAGAAAATCGATGTATAATTTGCTAAGCAACAATTATTTGTTTAAATGATTTACATATCCCACTATTTCATGACAAAGAATTACATCTTTTCTTTTTCAAAGAATTATTTTTTCACACTATAGTAAATTGTAACTGAAATTTCTTCAATTAATAAAATTCTTTTTCAATTGTGGCTTGCTTGCCAGAAAATAAGGTTTTAGGAAAACAAACTAAACTCACTAATTATAAATGTGCTAGCTAACTTTAGTTGCTAAAATGTTCTGGACTAGGTCTAAGCATATCAGATTAGCTTGATCAAGCATGTCACACTTAGATTGTGGAGAATCTGTAAAGAGCAATATTATATATATTATATATATAATAGACAGTTAAATAGTTACATTTTCATCGATGGATACTCGTTGGATACAGCTTGCAATTATCACACAATATCGTCGTAATTAATTAGTTAGTTAATGGTAATTAATATTATTCCTCGCTAGTGAATCCGAATTAAAGTTGAGTGGCATTTTCATTGATTAATAATAGTGTCTTAATTCATCTATATGTCTTGTCCATCTAAAGACCGTCAAAGATGGGGTTACATTGCTTCACGAATCATGATGATAGTTGATAGGCAAATCAATAGAAGCTTTTTTCACCTCCCAAGAGAGGGGGC